CAGCGGCCTGGGCCGGGGGCCTGGGTCCTGCGGACCTGAGAAACCCCAGTAGTGGAGGCTGGAACTGCGCAGGGGCTCCAGGCTTCCGTGGCCAAACTCAAGCTTTCGGACAGTTGGAAAGATCCAAAGTTTTCCCGATGATCACACTGTCTTTTTTCTAAAAGCCTGGGGGGTGGGGGGGGGGGGAACCACCGCGTCCTAGTCCTTAGCACGCGGGCTGGTCCCCAGAAAACGGGCTTCGTGTCCGCTCCCTCTCTCGCCTCCGAGGCCTCACCTTTCACAAACACCCCCCAACCATGGCGGCTCTGGACCCCAAGTGGGTGCAAGAGTCCGAGACTCCTTACTTCCAGGGAAGGCGGCGAGCAGGAGGCCTGCAGGGCCCGCGGACGTGGGTTTTGGCAGTGAGGCTCGGAGTGCACAGGAGAGGTCTCTCTCCGAACCTCCTGAGAGGGACCCTGCACACGGGAACACGGACCACAAAGAACGAGCTCGCTCCCCCTCCCAGAGGGTCCAACAGCCAGGCCAGAGCAGGCCAGCCCTGCAGTGCGGGCGCGGATGCAGACGGCGGTTAAGGCTCCTTCTCTCTTCCCAGTTTGCAGGATCTAAACGTGTCTCCTTTTCTCTTTTTGTTCACGTTCATTTCGCTCTGATTTTTAAAAGGGCAGCAGCACCCAAGCCAAAAACATCAGACAAAGTGAAAACACAAGCCATGTGGGACGGGCAGGAGTTGCATCCCACTGAAGTGGGACTTCGCTCTCAGTTCTCAGAAGTGGACTCTGCCAACTTTCAGGCTCCCGATCAGATAACGAGGGCCAGGGAGGGGAGAAGCGGGGCCCGCGCGGAGGAAAGCACAAGTCACCAAATAGCTATAGGTGAAAGCAGCCAGGGCCGAACTCCGGGACCTGGGGACGGCGGCAGCGTCACCCCCAGCCTGGGACCCAGGATAGGGCACCCGGGCCACCGGAGGGCGGGAACTGAAACGCCCGGGAAGATCCCAGCAGTGGGGCCGCGCCCGCCCAACAGGGGCTCGGGCCTGCACGTCCTCGGCTCCGCAGGCTCGGTGCACGCAAAGGCCCTGCAACTTCCACCTCGCCCAGCACTAGGCCGTGGTGCAGGGGCGGCTGGATATCAGCCTCCGCCTGGCTGGCGAGGGACAGCCGCCAGCTCAGCAAGTTTAAAGGAGAAAACCGCGCGAAGGGAGCAGGCCGCACACTCCTCCTCTGTGGAGCTCGCGCTCGAAAAGTCCTTGGGCTTAGGGATTTGGTCCCCTCTCTGCTAGAGCGGTTCGCCATACTTTAGATTCCCCAGTTATGACCTATGCGGATTTAGGATTAAGGAAAATGTGACTTTTAAATGGTTTCTGCTTCCCAGTTCGCAGGATTATTTGCAATAGCTAGAAACGGGGTGCAAAGCATTCCATTCAAAATCCGCTTTTCGCGGAGTTGCTTCTGCGCGCCTTGCCGGATGAGGCTCGGAGTGCACAGGAGAGGTCTCTCTCCGAACCTCCTGAGAGGGACCCTGCACACGGGAACACGGACCACAAAGAACGAGCTCGCTCCCCCTCCCAGAGGGTCCAACAGCCAGGCCAGAGCAGGCCAGCCCTGCAGTGCGGGCGCGGATGCAGACGGCGGTTAAGGCTCCTTCTCTCTTCCCAGTTTGCAGGATCTAAACGTGTCTCCTTTTCTCTTTTTGTTCACGTTCATTTCGCTCTGATTTTTAAAAGGGCAGCAGCACCCAAGCCAAAAACATCAGACAAAGTGAAAACACAAGCCATGTGGGACGGGCAGGAGTTGCATCCCACTGAAGTGGGACTTCGCTCTCAGTTCTCAGAAGTGGACTCTGCCAACTTTCAGGCTCCCGATCAGATAACGAGGGCCAGGGAGGGGAGAAGCGGGGCCCGCGCGGAGGAAAGCACAAGTCACCAAATAGCTATAGGTGAAAGCAGCCAGGGCCGAACTCCGGGACCTGGGGACGGCGGCAGCGTCACCCCCAGCCTGGGACCCAGGATAGGGCACCCCGGGCCACCGGAGGGCGGGAACTGAAACGCCCGGGAAGATCCCAGCAGTGGGGCCGCGCCCGCCCAACAGGGGCTCGGGCCTGCACGTCCTCGGCTCCGCAGGCTCGGTGCACGCAAAGGCCCTGCAACTTCCACCTCGCCCAGCACTAGGCCGTGGTGCAGGGGCGGCTGGATATCAGCCTCCGCCTGGCTGGCGAGGGACAGCCGCCAGCTCAGCAAGTTTAAAGGAGAAAACCGCGCGAAGGGAGCAGGCCGCACACTCCTCCTCTGTGGAGCTCGCGCTCGAAAAGTCCTTGGGCTTAGGGATTTGGTCCCCTCTCTGCTAGAGCGGTTCGCCATACTTTAGATTCCCCAGTTATGACCTATGCGGATTTAGGATTAAGGAAAATGTGACTTTTAAATGGTTTCTGCTTCCCAGTTCGCAGGATTATTTGCAATAGCTAGAAACGGGGTGCAAAGCATTCCATTCAAAATCCGCTTTTCGCGGAGTTGCTTCTGCGCGCCTTGCCGGACCTGGGAGTTTGGAGC